ATGAAATTTTAATGATTTCCTAAATGTCTTCTCTAAAGCACTTATAATGAAGTTCTAGTACTCATAAGTATGGAAATAATATACTTCTTTAGTCACACTTATTTCAGTGTAGCTAAGGAGTAAGAGGCCTTGTAAATTTTTTCAAACTTCCTACTTACTTAGAGGACAATATTAAAGACAAGTTAGGTTAACTATGTATTCCTACTCAAATTCTTTTATATAGATAAATGTATAGCGACAACAACACAACAGAATTGAAGGTCAAATATATTTTTTTAAATAACAATACAGCCTAGAGGTTTATCTAGAATGCTTTTCTCATTAACCCTCCCCATCCTTGCTTAGCTAGTTGCTAATCATCCCTTAAGTTTACTTTAAAGTGATATGAAAAAACAAAATCTAATATGCAGTGAGCAAAGTTAGTTACTACCATTTACTATGTGCCAGGTACTATATGTACCAAGTACTTGTATAAATTTATTCATTTTATTCTTGCAACCCAAAGACATAGTTCTTCTCATCTCTGTTTTATAGAAACTGGGGCTTGGAGAGTAAGGGACTTGCCCAAGGTCTCAGAGCTAACAGGTTTGGAGTAAAACCTAGTACTTTCAGACACTGCTTTATGAAGCCTTAGGAACAACCTCTTCTTGGAAATTCCCTAGCCTTCCAAACTGGGTTAGACCACCCTCCTTTAACCTCTCTAAGCTCCCTGCACATGACCATCCTGACAGCTTTATCACTGCTTGCTACGATAAGCTCCTGAAGATGGAAAGACTGTTTTTACCAATACATCCACAGCCCACCACACAGTGCCTAGCATGCAGAACTCAGGTAACATGTGATGAACTGCCCTGCAAGTAAAGCTCATCACAGTAACTCACCTTAGGAGGAAGTCCTATCCGATGAAATTTTCTACCGACTTTTGGCACTTTTTCTAAAGCATACTTTTTGCCTCTAGATTTTGCACGGTCAATTGCACTGTAGTTAAATGTCTCACTGACAAGCCAAACCACCTAGAAATGAACAGTTTAGAAAAGTGGCTATTAGAATTTGCATTATAGTATTTCTAGTCACATACATCATGGAACTCACTCTAGTGCTGTAAACTAGCAAAGTTTAATACTATACTAAATGCTCTGGAGAATCTAAAACAGAAAGGATAAGGGATTTTGCAAAGTTGCTTAAATGGCACATATGTATTTCTCTCTCAGAGAGGCAGCCTGAAACTGACCAATGGAAGAAAGAAGTAAGTCTTGAAAGAAGCAAGTGGCATTAGGAATGAATATTTTGAGGCGATCTTCAAGTAAAAATGTATAAAGGCCAAACCAGAAAAAAGATAGCAGTCTTCTGAGCATATTAGTTATCTCTACCTTCAACAGAATTTCTAGATCCTTGATTTTTTTTTTCTGCTTTCTAAATGCTAATTTCCTCTCCTCTTTTCATTAGCATCACCTCAGCTCACACGAGCAAGAGATATTCCCTTGGACATTTTGTGGATCTATACTAGAATCAGCTTACTAGGCATTCTTGACTCTGGATTACCAAAAAAAGGGATGCGACTTCAGACTCTGTCATTATAAATATTACTGAAGTGTGCACAGGGAAAGGAGCTGTAAATTAGAAGTACAAGACTGAAAACAATTTCTCCTTTACCCTTGTTTTTGGTACAATGCCCAGGTGAAGCTTTTCATCCACGAGGGAGGCGCCAGCTTCAGAAAGGTATCCCTGATTAGGAAGCAGGCAGCCTCTGCCGAAGCAGCAAGGACAGCACACCTTATGAACATATTTGGTCCATTTCGGATTCAGCTGACCATAAGGCTCTTCCGATTTAGGTTTAAACACACCAATGATGTTCTATAGGGGAGAAAAGGGAGAAATTTTATTAGACTTTTAATATACAGAGATAATAATCCATAAAATGCATTCTGATCTTTTTCTACTTTTTTTCTACCACAGATTTGGGCATAACCCTTAACTATTAAGAGGTTTAGTTCCAATTACAGTTTTACACTCATTCTCATTCATAACCTAAAATCAATAATCCTCTGGCCTAATAGTTTTCAAACTGTGCTCTGAGAAACCCTAGGGAAGGTGAGAGAAAAGGTGTGAGCAGGGCTCTAAGACCCCATGCCACTTAACCAGATCGACTCTGATTTTACCTGTTTTACGTTACTGGACTTCCTACTTAAGAAAGGGTTCCACTGATTTTAAAATGTTTGAAATCCACTGATCTAGGTCAAGCAGTATTATTATTCAATATCTATTAAATATCCAAATTCTATGTTTATTTACTGTCTAGTTTCCCCAGTGGATGTACATTCTAAAAGGGCAAGGACTTTCTTTGGTAGGGCTATATCCTGAGTACTCAGAACAGCAGCTTGTACACAGTAGGCATTCAAGTGTTTGTTAAATGAGTAAATCCAATGACAAAAAGTCATCTCTAAAATACAGTCATAATGACAGGATCTAGGGACATCTATGTTGTCAGAATTTCCCACCCTAAATTTTTCCAATTTTTAATGAACTAATTTTAAATAAACTCCTCTTTAAAAAACTGCTCATGGATGTCTAAAGTCTATAATCTTTATTACTGATCTGATAAAATATATTCATATTAAATTTAGAAGCTAAATTATCCTCAAACAAGAAATAAAAATCTTACTATAAGTATATAATTGTTTTATAAATGCAATAAAGTCTGAGTCACTAATGAAAAAGTCAACAAAAACAAATTAAGAAATCAAGCTTGGAATTTAACATTATCTCCATACATATTTAAATCTCAAAAAAGACTATGTTTTAAAATACAACTTCAGTCTTTGCAAAAAATATTTGGATGAAATTACCATCTTTTTTCTCCTGAAAAAAGAACTGCTGACTATGCATCATTCAGAAAGCTTTTAGAAATGATAATATATATTTTTGAAAAATTCTAGACTAAGTAGAACAAAATCCCATATCAACTTTTCCTTTCTGCCTTAGAATTATACTTTGGTTCATTTCACTTTGTCACATTCCAGTGCCTTCAAACTTCAGACAGCCCAGGCTCCTTCTCTGTTGTAATGCTGGGAAAAATGTTCTGAAGGTAAAATAAATCTTTGAAAAAAAAATCAAGCACTTCGAAATGATATTAAAAAGGTTCTGAAAGTTTAAACTTCTACTCTGCTTGGTTACTGTAAGGAAAGGACTTGTGACTATAAACCCAACAAATCTACAGCTGAATGTGAATATTCAATAAATACTTGAAACCATATTATTAATAAAACAGAAAACTATGACTTAAAATGAATAGCTCTATTTTTAAACAGTAGAGTCCTTTAGTTAAAAATAAACTGACCTTTATTTCTGAAAGAAGGTGCAATCAGATTTATTAGGAATATTTTCAGAAACTCACAATGACTTCACATTTAAATTAGTGTTTTCCAAAATGCCTGTTACATATAGTAGATCTGGGAAATTCTCACCCTCTTAGGATCCTTCACAAAGTAACTTCCACTTGAACCTTGAGAGATTCTTTCTGGAAAAACTCCAAATTCTATTGCTTGCTCTGCTTTCAATATAATATCAGCAAATTCTGGATCATCCAAAAATGTATTCAACTCTGAAGAATCAACAATTATTTCATTAAGAAAATTAATGTTAATACAGAACATGAAGAAGAAAGACCAGTTATGAGAACGCCCATGATATGGACCTGTGATATTGGATTAAGTTATTAGCATTAAGACATCTGGGTACAGAAAATGTATTGTTATGGGCTGGTTTGATGCTCCTTTTTTTTCTCTAACCCCACTTCAAGCTTCAAATAATGCCACTTGGGAAAGATCTCCTAGGTTGAAATAATCACACTAATACCCTCCCAGTGACTGTGTTCTTCATCCTGCCTCAGCCTCTGTCTGTAGCCCTTCTCCAGACCTGTCATTCCCAACACCTGCAACTTCTCCATACTTTCCATTTCAAGCACCTTCTATTTTCCTACCTCATTCACTCTCACACTCAGAGTCCAAAAACTTCCATCCCACTAGCACCCACAGCCATATGCCATCAGGGTCTTCACCCACTTTGTGTCCCTACTTCCCTCCTTGCCCAGCTTACATTATGGTTAATCATCATACAGTCACTCTCTCCCCTCACCACCCCGCATCATGGTCACCTGGAAAAGTCCCAATCCTGGTAAAAACCAACTGTCTGCTGACTCTGCCTGTGCCCAGAGAGCTGAACCTGACTAGACACACACACACACACACACACACACACACACACATACACACACACAATGCCTCATGTCTCCCTTTCAGTTCATCACCACAAACTTCAGGTGGCCCCTCATTTTGCCCAGGAAACATACCACATCTCCTGTTAGAGACTGTTTATGACTCTCCAAAATACACCGAAGCCTTAACCCCCCAATGTGATCCTACAAGAAGATGGATTCTTTGGGAAGTAATTAAGTTTAGATGAGGCCAAGAGGGTGGGGACCTCATGATGGGATTAGAGCATTCTCTCTCTCTCCCTCTGCCAAGTGAGGAAACAGTGAGAAGGCTGTCAACTGCAAGCCAAGAAGAGAGCCCTTCCAAAGAACGTGGTCACCCTGGTGCCCTGATCTTGGACTCCCCAGCTTCCAGAACAGTGAGAAATAAATGTCAGTTGTTTAAGCTACCCAGGCTAGCGTATTTTGTTAAAGCAGACTGAGTTATAAATAGACTGATAAATAGATATTCCCACTCTTTCAGAGAACTATCTCATACCCTCTCTTCTCCTCAAATTCCTAACCTCTCTTCCCTCTCAGCAGATGATCCAGCTTCCTATTTCAAGAAGAAAAGAGAAGCAATCAGAAAAAACTACCATCAGCCCTCAGCACCGTAACCGCCCTTCCACATCCTCTGCCTTCTGCCAAGCTCTGAGATCAACTCCACTTTGTATACCAGAACTATCTCTTCCTGACTACTCCAGGACATTTCTTCAGCAATTCTTTCCTGCATCACTATTTCCCTCTCTACTGGAACATTTCCATCACCACATAAAGCATGCTGTAATTTTTCTCATTTTAAAACAAATCTCTTTTAGCCCCCAAAGTTCCCCTAGACACTCCCTCATTTCTTTGTTCCCTTTTATAACGGAAGAGCTATATAATTACATTTACCATCTCCAATTTTCCTTCTCCCACTTTCTTTTGAACCCATTTCAATCTAGCCTCTGACCCGATCACTCCACTGATTTAATTTTTGTCAGGGTACATAGTGACCTCCACTTTGCTAAATTCAACCTCAGACCTTATCTTCCTTGACCAACACCACCATTTCATTCTGTTGGTCACTCCCTCCTCCTGAAAATATTTTCTTCACTTGGCTTTCAAGATGCCACTTCTCCAGGTTGTCTTCCCATTTCATTGGCTCCTCTTTTTCAATCTCTTGCTGACTCATTTTCATCTCCCTGACTGTCTAAACTTTGGAATGCCCCAGGTTCTGTTCATGGTCCTCTTCCCTCCCTTATCAGCACTGACGACTCCCAAATTTGTACCTCAAGCCTGGATTTCTGCCCTGAACCCCTGACTACTGTACTCAGCATCTCAACTTGGATGTTTTAGTAGACAACTCAAACTTTACTACCCCAAACTCCAGTCCGCATTTCCTCTTGACTGCTTCACTCCCAGTATCCCTATTTCAGTTACTTGCAACTCCAAATCTCCAGTTGCTCTTGCCAAAAACCTTGGAATCATCCATGATCTCACTCTCTTCTCCCACATCCAATCCATCAGTAAGTTGTGTGGCTCTACTTTAAATAGATATCCTAAATCTAACCACCTCTTGCCATCTCCATTCCTTCTGTGTGATTAAAGTCACTATCAACTCTATCCTAGATTGTTGCCAAAGTCTCCTAACTGGTCTCCTCCCTATACTCAGCCATGCCCTCCCCATACTCAGCAGAGAAGCTATAGTCATCCTATTTAAATGTAAGTCTGATCATGTCACTCCTCTGTACAAAACAGCCCAGTGTTTTTCCATCTCACTCAGAAAAAAAGTCCAAGTCCTTATACTGGCCCCCAAGACCCTATCCAATCTCCCCTAGCCTGCATTTTATTTTTCTGGTTAGCACTTACCACCTAACATATTAAATAACTTATTTATTTTGTCAGCTCCAAGAAGATATGGGTTTCTTTCACTGGTATATGACCAGAACTTTTACAGTTCCTGGAACATCAGAGGCACTCAATAAACATTTACAGAATTAATAACTGATCATTTAAAGTGGTAGGAAAAAAAGTGGTAGACAAGCCAAAAGTTATTCACATTTTACTTTGAAAGGCATTTAAATGCTATTACATGTATTCAATTTTATGAAAATTCAAACTATAAACTTTCCTTAATTTAATATTTGCTTTAATTCAGACATAAATTAAGACTACTATCAACTAACTTTTAAAATTTTGTGGTGAGAAAAATACTAGAAAAAAGGCCCTTGGGCATACTTAAAAGAATAAATAATTATGTCTATACAACTGATACGCTTATTCCAAATCATTATTATCTATTCCATGGAAATTCATAAGAATGAAGGGAGAAACTCTGTCTTTCTTGTTAACTGTGTATCCCTAGCACCTGGAAGAGGGCTCAGCATTTAGCAGGTTCTAAACAAACATTTAAATGAATAAATACAGTATTATTTATGTGCCAAGTTGTGCCAATAATCATCATCATTAGTCAAGTGATAGTTCTTCTAGGTCAGGGCTCTTAACGCCAAGGAAGAATTTGAAAAGTTATTTCAACTTTGCTCCCAGTACTGGTACACTTTCTATAATTCATCATCAGCAGGTGGTCTTTGGGCCAATGTTTAAACATTTTCAAAGAGAGATCACTCCTTTTTTTAACTTTTTTTATTGAGTTATAGTCATTTTACAATGTTGTGTTGATCACTTTTTTAATGTTTTGCTTGTTTGAAAACAAATATAAACTTGTTTCTTCTTCAGAAATTGGTTCTCCTGCAGTTTCAACCAATGTCCTAGACCTGCCATCTGGAGTAAAACAAAAGTACTTACTCCTCTCTTCCCAGGGATGGCCCTTCAAATAGCTGAATATCATTTCATGGCTCCCTAAGTCTCCTCTATTCTCTGCCTCCTTCCATATGGAAGTATTTTCAGGCTTTTCAGCATCCAAGTTGCCCTCCTGTTTCATGCCTCAGCTTTTCAATGTGCCTCCTTAAAATACAGTCTCCAGAATCAAGCAACCCATTGCAGAGAATAGAGACATCTCTCAGTCTTGACACTATACCAAAAAAAGAGCACTCTAGTATTACACTTGTCATTTAGGAGTCCTGGCATACTACTAACTTATACTGAAATGGCTAAACTCTTGGACCACTCTTGGCCTCTCCCAACATGTACTTGGGCAGTTCTTTTGGAAACTACGTGCAGACTTTGACGTTAGTATCAGATGTTATCAAATTGCTTTATGGGTTAAGCTTTATGAGTTCATCAGAGAACCTGCCTTTGTTACTCTCCTGGAGCCCAGGATCATACTCTGAATACTTAATAATTCAGCTTCAACCAAAATCAGATCAGAGCCATTCCTACAAAATCAGTCAGGATGTTCTCAATCCCTTTTTCTTTACCTGGTCCCTTACTGAGCAACTCTTTTGGATAAATGAAAACTGGCATTCTCTGAAGATAGCCTGGATTTACCATCACAATCCAGAAAGGCACTTAAAGGACAACTGTTCCTATCTAATTACAGCCAGAAGACAAAACAAAACTATATACAACTATTCTAAAATCCAAGTAATTATTTTTCAGTAGATGATTCTTCTTTCTGACTTATAACTCACAAATACATTCTACAGATTTCTTTGTTTTAGTCACTTAAATGTACATTCAGCAATGAGTTTAATTTGGAGAACACATACTAAAGTTATGACACTTCAGGACACATGTGCTGTAGCGATCTGGTTTGAAGGTTTGTTGTCATTGGTTTGGTTTTTAATAGCTGAGGGGCTTAATTACCTGTATTTTCTTTAACATTTTTTCAGTTAAAATTAATTTCACCCCTTTTAAGAAATAAACTATGAGATTTTGATTTGACTCTGTATCAAAAAATATTCAAATTTTCTAAGGAGAATCTCAGTTCTACCTTTGTAATATCCTTTGGGACTCCTCTCAGAAGCAGCAGTGGCCTTCTAGTCAAGTTCCAGTTCTATTCAAGCTCCTCTCTTTTCACAAGACATCCAGTCCACCCTCTGAAACTTTGCCCATGCTGTTCTGATATATATGCCAAGTTTCCTTCCTATGGCTGAGTCTTATCCATCCTTCAACTCCATCTGAACATTTGCAATGCTATAACAAAATGATCTAAGTACCAGCAGGGCAGAGATCTTTGTTTTGTCCCGTGATATATGCCAAGTGCTTAAAACTGTACCTGGCACATGGTAGGCCCTCAATAAATTTGAGAATTACTTATTAACAAAATTTTAACCACACTTAAGGATTATTACTGATCCTTTGGTAAGTAGAAACTGAAAATGTATTGAGAACCCACTTATAACCTTTTATATTTAATTTTATAAAGTTGCATGGTAACTTATCAAGTTCTCATTTCAGATAAATAAATCAAAATGAATAAATCTTACCCACTGGCCAGAATATTTTCTAAAAAGAAAAGTAGCTGGCTCACAAGTCTGGTGATCTTAACCCCTGCCTCAGGGGTTCCAGTGCTATTCATTTTCAAGTCTCAAATTGGATACTTCCTCTGCTAAATCTTCCCTGGCCCCCAGGTCCACAGCACAGCTCAACGGAACCTTCAGCTTTCCTCATCCAAGCATATATATCCTCTATTAGAACTGTTTGGTTACAAGGTTACGTGGGGACAAGGCTGGTGACTGGACAACCATTTGACATCTGGCCACCAGTTTCCCCACGGCTTCGATTTCCACTAGCACCAAGTAGGCACTGAAACATTTGCTGAATGATGGGTCTCTGCAGCAGATGGAAAACAAAGAATACGTGTGTCCTAATTACTGCTTGAGGAATAATCTCCATCACGCTGCTGCTCACTACCTCTCAAAAGCTCAGCTATGGAGAATTGTCAAGATCTATGGGGTATCTACTTGTCTAGTACCTCCCTCTAAATTTAGCCAGGTTATCAGCATATTGAATCTAGACCCAGCAATACTGACAGCGCCACCCACTAGAATTACTTCTACTGAAATGAACTTCAGGGAAGTTTTAAGAAAAACTCCTATGAAATTCATCACTTGTATTACAAATATATTACCTAGCATAGCCTCTTCTCCAAAAGGATACCCAACAGGTTAATCTCAGTTTTGTTTTTGTTCAAATAATCAGTCTGTTTTAACTTTAGGAACACAGTGACTGTGTTTCTCTCAAGTTGGCTGCTCAGTAATCTTAAAAGTCAAATTTGTGGGCTGCCTATACCAAGTGTGTGATGAACATTTTGTGCACTCTTATTCTGGCCTCCATCTCATTTATTCCATTACCCTAACTTCCCACTCTCATCTTTCTTCCTTACTTTTAAATGATTTTATTTTGTTTGTACATTTTCAAGCCACCATGAATCAATAAATACACACTTTCTTTTACTTTGGTAGCTCTTTGTGAATTCTAATGCCATTCTCTAATTGTCAGGCTCTCCAACAAAACTGGTAAGTGCTTCTGGTTTGTATTAACTGGGACCTTGAATAAGTCACTTCACCTCTCTGCACTTCGTTAAAGTGAGAATAAAAAACAGTGCTCACTTCATGGAGTTGGTTATAAATTAATACATGTGAAATGCACAGAACTATGCCCTGCAGGTACTGTTTTGTGGGTATTAACTATTATCACTACTCTCCAACTCACTGATTAAAATGACAGCTAGATCTAGAAATGCCACTAATCCTTCTACTTTGACACTGATCCAACAACACTATGGTTTATGCTGGTTCTAGACTTTGTCACATGCTTTGTTCAAGTAAAGATAATAGACATGACATTCTTCCACTGGCTAAAGTACATATAGCTCCTGTTCACATAAACAAAATAGTTAAGCATCGTAAATGATGTTAATATTAATCGAAAGTAAGAATTTCTTGGAACTAGAGAAGTTGGCTTCATGGAAATTGGTGGTAAAGGACAAAGGAAGTTAATGGACTCATTAAAAAATAACTAAACTTAATCATCAGGTTAAAAAAATCATGAACTTTTTAGGAGAACGGTTTGAAATTTTAAAAATAGTTTTACATTTCAAAACTATTTTTAAATCCATTAAAAATAAAGCCTCCATAATAAGTAAACAGAAGTTAAAATGAAAAACTTGCGGATCTACAGCAAAATGGAAAAAATGTAGGACGTGAAAGAACAAAGCTCAGTCCCGGCCTTACCACTTCCTGGATCTTGACTTCGGTTTACCTCTGAAGTTTATCAGCTACTACTCATTACAGTTTTAAGTCAGTTTTAATCCTCATACCCAGCATAAGGGTGAATAACAGCTAACTTTCTGTGCTGTTGTGAGAATTAATGAAATATATGAAAAAAGATCTTAGCAAACTGTAAAGTCTGATATAAATAAGTTACCACAATTTTAAAAGACTGGAATTCTAATAAAATCCATTTTGTATTCTGAATATTATATTCTACCCCCCCTTTTACCTTTTCTAGCCTTAATATCATTTGTCTACAAAACCCAAATTTCATAGAATAAATGCAATTTCAAGGTTTTAGGCTCTTTTAAAATCTAGCTACATAGGTAAATTTGGAGTAGCAAAGGGCAAGCTAGGATCTTAGTTACTTCACAAACCAGTATTCTAGGTAATATAAACCCAGATTATTGATGTAGCTAGGTGACTGTGGATCTGTTTGTGATCTGGTTCCATCTTCATGTTAAATGTAGTACTGTCTATGCATCCAAAAGCTAACATTATAATGGTAGCTAGCCAACCTGTATGTCAGACCAATTTGCTAAAGCTTTATTCATTAAAGTCCACTTCCCGTGGGCCTCTCTGTTTTATTCACTCTAGAATGTTTGACTGTAAGTCCAACTACAACTAGAATAACTTATTCTACCCAAAGTTCTTTAAATTGTGGAAGGCCTATTAGCATACTAGTAGCAGAACATGTAAAATCTAAGGACTCCAGAAAAACTAAGCAGCATTAATGGAAACTACATTTTCTGTGCCTTGTCTTGAAGCTGTTATGCATGGACTGATGTTCCAGGCACAGTGCACTCATCACCTCATTTAAACCACCCTTACTACCAGCAAAGAAGGTGTTACGACCATTTTACATCTAGCCTGTTTCATCTCTACCTCGGACTCTTACAACGCTATTCTATTTTACTATCAAATTAGCCTAATTGGACTCCACTATGCCAAATAAACTGGATTTATCAACAAATATCCATGTCTGTAGTCAAATGCCTAAATTTTACTCTCAACATCATTTCAAATATCCTCTTTTTCACCTGATGTTGTCAGTCTGCTCAATAGTGAAAAAGTTTTTCCTCTGTAAAGTACAAAAGTATAAATGACTCAAGAAAGAAAACTTTGCAAGAAAGACGGCAGGTACGTAAATTTAACTGCCTCTGCCCGCTCTGGCTAACGTCACTACAACATTTTATTTCAAAAGTTTTTGAAACGTGTCCCAGTGGCAACCGGATATTCTTGCTTTCCCTCTCTCAGCTGGCATCCACCTTGCAAACTCTCGGGGAACTTTCTTGATAGTTCAGGGTTCTTAATCCAAAACTCAAGTCGAAACTTGAGCAAACAACTTATGTTATTTTAGTGTTAAGTTTCCTGTCTGATCCCAAAAGTTTAGGCTCGCTTTTAGGGGAGGCCTCAAGGATCAGAGTTTAATGACAACCCTGGGCCTTGAGTGAAGAGGCATGTAGCCCCCGGAAAAGATGCGAGTAAACCCGGGAGCAGAAGAGAAAGGCAAGGCGTCCAAGGTGTGAGCAGGGGCTAGCGCCTGGCCTGTGCGCCGGCCGGGATACCTGGTGGACAGCCTTTGCCAGCAGGCAAGGGCTAGCGGAGACGGAGAATGGAGCAGGGGGCAGGGACGCGAGGAGGTGCGTGAACGGGGGGCTGAGCGGCGGCGGCGACAGGCGCTCTGGAAGGGCGCGGAATAAGGAATGAGTCGGGTCGCACCTGAACCCACGGGGCGGTTCCGATCCAGGTCGGTGGGCGAGCTCCGGAGGCGCCCCAAACCCAGGGAAGGGGAGGGAGACGCATCCCCAGGCCGGAGCAGCAGTTCCTCGTCGCTGGCCTGGCCACGGGAGGCCGCGCCCTCGTCCCCGGCAGCCTTCACCTGCCTCACGGCACTCCCCGGGGCGCTCTTCCGCGGCTCGGCCCAGGCGATCCGC